GGCTTTGCATTTCTTCTCTTTCTTTGTCTTTTGAATTGCATTATTTTGTGATCTATAATTTGATTGTCAGATTGTATAGCAGCATAAAGATATACTAAACATTGCTTTCTTTACATATCAGTATTTGGGTTGCTTTCACATTTGGTTTCATAAATATTGCTTCAGTATTCATGTGCCTGTGGATTGTGTCTCTCTTAGTGGCATGCCTGGCAAGAAACTACGGAAGCAATAAATAATCCCATGTAGAAATTGCTGGGAAACTGCCAAATTATTTTAGAGTGGCTGCAATATTTTACTGGAAACGTATGAGGGTTTGTGGCGAGCGACTGGAGCAACTCGGACTAGACTAAGTTACTGGAATTAAGACTTATTCTATGCATCTGCTTTCCCACAATATGGCGCTGAGAAGGGAGTAACAGCTTCTACACAGCTGCCTCCAGTTCAACCAATAAACAGCAGGACCTGCTCCTGATTGGAGGAGAGCAGCGTACTCGGCGTGTGGGTAGCAGAGTTGGGATTGGAGGAAGAGGACTATAAAGGAGGAGAGAGACAACATGCACCAGGAACATCTATCTGAAGGAACACCTGAGCAGCCCCTGAGAGAGCCGGCCGGCGTGGAGTCCCTTCCATGGAGGTGGAAGGGACGGAAGCCAACCCGGGAAGAACCAGCAGCAAACCCGGGGAGGGCCGAGCAGACAAAAGAACAGCGCAGGGTTTAGTGTCATTCCCCCACGAAGAGGGGGAGCGACAAGGGTTCCCTGTTCTCCACATCCATGTCAACATTTATCTATAGTGAATCAGAGTCATTGACTTAAGAAGAAGTGTTATTTCCCTAAGGTTTTGATTTACATTTCCACAATGATTTATATTAAGTATAATTTTTTTAAAGATTTATTTTATTTATTTAAAAGACAGTTGCAGAGAGAGGTAGAGACAGAGAGAGAGGTCCTCCATCCACTGGTTCACTCCCCAGATGGCTGCAACAGCCAGAGCTGTGTTGACCCAAAGCCAGGAGCCAGGAGCTTCTTCTGGGTCTCCCACATGGATGCAGGGAGCCCAAGGACTTGAGCCATCTTGCACTGCTATCCCAGGCCATAACAGAGAGCTGGATAGGTAGTAGAGCAGCCAGGACTAGAACCGGCACCCATATGGATTCTGGCACTTCAGGCCAGGGCTTTAACCCACTGCACCACAGCACTGGGCCCAGAAGAATATACTTTTGCAGTATTAAAATCTCTTACTGAAATCAATGCTTCATTTAAAAATTGTATGGTTTTTTTTTTGTAATTTTTTAGTATAAAATTCAAGTTTTGTGGGGCTGGCGCCATGGCTCACTTGGTTAATCCTCCACCTGCGGCACTGGCATCCCATATGAGTGCCAGGTTTTAATCCCAGTTGCTCCTCTTCCAGTCCAGCTCTCTGCTGTGGCCTGGGAAGGCAGTGGAGGATGGCCCAAGAGCTTGGGCCGCCTGCACCTGCATGGGAGGCCAGGAGGAAGCACCTGCTCCTGGATTCGTATCGGCATAGCTCTGGCCATAGTAGCCCTCTGGGGGCAGAGTCAACATAAAGAAGGACCTTTTTCAGAGCCGGCACTGTGGCTCAATAGGCTAATCCTCCACCTTGTGGCACCGTACACTGTGTTCTAGTCCTGGTTGGGGCGCCGGATTCTGTACCAGTAGCCCCTCTTCCAGGGCAGCTCTCTGCTGTGGCCTGGGAGTGCAGTGGAGGATGGCCCAAGTGCTTGGGCCATGCACCCCTATGGGAGACCAAGGGAAAGCACCTGGCTCTTGGCTTCGATCAGCATGATTTAGTTTAATCAAGTTTTTTTCTTAAATTTCTTGTGGTATTTCACTCTTTGATGCTACCTTGAATGTTATTGTTAATTATACTTTTAGAATGTTCATCACTGTTAAACAGAAATATAATTGATACTTATATCTTATATTCTGCAAAAATACTGAGTTTTACTGTATTTTTGGAGTGGGATTTTAGTGACTTCCTCAGAATATATGTTACATGCAAGACTATGTGTTCAATATTACAAGTCAACTTTGCTCTTTTGTTTGCAATCTGGAGCTTTATTCTTTTGCTTTGTTCTTTTTTAGTAGAATCATCCACTACACTGTTGAATAGAAGTGTTAAAAGTAGCAGTCTTATTCCCATTTTACAAGAGTTTATTGTAAATTTCCCATAGGTGCCCTTCCTGTGGTGGAAGTTTGCCTCAGTTAACAGTTATTTAGGGTTTTAATCATAAATTGAATTTAGTCAATTTTTTTCTTTATTGAAGAGGTTATGAAATCTTGATTTTCTGATTATTACATTAAATATTTACACTTAATATTTTTATTTTTAATTTGAGAGGCAGAGAGAGCTAGAACCCCTATCTTCTGGTTCACTCTGCATATGTCTGCAATGACAGGTCTGGACTGGAAACAAAATCCTGGCCTCCATGTGGGTGACAGGGTCCCAGTTACATGTCCCATCCCCACAGCCTCCCATATTTTCCATTGGCAGGCAGCTGGTTTCAGAAGCCAGAGGTGAGAGTTGAACATAAACACTGTAGTATGCAATGCAGATATCTTACCCAGACTCTCAACTGAGACCAAATCTGTGCCTGTATGCTGGTTTTGTTCAATATCACACTGTTTAGACTACATTTGCTTTTGAATTAAGAGAATGTGAGGCCTTTAACTTTGATCTTATGTTCAAGAATATTTGGGTATTTAAATACTTGACATTCCATATTAATTTTCTGTATAGTTTTTTTAAATTTTTGACTAAAAATAACTATTGGGATATTATGAAGAATGATTTGAATCTATAGATCACTAGGAACATTGATTTATTACATATATTTTATAATCCATGAACAGAGTGTATATATATACATTTATTTGTGTGATCTTTAATTCATTTTAGTAATCTTTTATAGTTTTCAATGTTTAGGTATTTTATTTCCTTGGTTAAGTTTATTCCTAAGTATTTTATTACCTTTGGTGCTTTTGAAATTGAATTGTTCTCTTGATTGCTTTAATTTATTTATTTTTAATTTTTTTATTATATAAGGTGAACAAATTTCATGTGTTTCATATATTCAGATTTAGGAACAAAGTGATACTTCCTACCCTACCCTCTCCTGCTCAGGCTCCCAACTTTCTTCCCTCTTTTATTATGATTTTACTTTTAATTTTACAACACATACTTTCAGTTTATGTTATAATCATGTTTGACCCTCCACAAAGTGAAGGATTCAACAAATAGAAAGTAAAAGAAAACCACAGTTCCTCAAGAGTAAAGAAAATGTTATAATCATCTCAAAATGCAAATTTTGCTCCTAAACATTACATCTTTTATACTCTGTATATTAGTAACATATATCAAGGAAAACATACAATATTTGTATTTTTGAGACTCACTTATTTCACCAAGCATGATAGATTCCAGTTGCATCCATTTTATTGCAAAAGACAGAATTTCATTCTTTTTTGTGGCTGAGTAGTATTCCACAGTGCATAAGATACCATATATTTTTATCCAGTCATTACTTGATTGGCATCTGGGTTGATTCCATATCTTAGTTATTATGAATTGAGCTGTAATAAACATGGGCATACAGATAGCTTTAATATGCCAATTTAACTTCTTTTGGGTACATTCACAGTGTGGGATGGCTACGTCATATTGTAGATATACTGTCAGATTTCAGAGGAATCGCTATACTGCCTCTAGTAAAGGTTGCACTAGTTTACATTCCCACCAAAAGTGTACTAGGGAACTTTTCCCCCCTACATCCTCACCAGCAGTCATTGCTTCATATTTTTTGTATGAGAGCCATTCTAACTCTGGTAAGGTGTAACCTCACTGTGGTTTTATTTGCATTTCCTGGCCAACAGCCAGGAGTTTCTTCTGGGTCTCCACAAGGGTGCAGGGGCCCAAGGACTTGTGCCATTTCTACTGTTATCCCAGGCCATAGCAGTGAGCGTGGATCAGAAGTGGAGCAGCCAGGACTTGAACTGGCACTCATATGGGATGCCAGCACTTCAAGTCAGAGCTTTAACCTGCTGTGCCACAGATCGGTGCAGCTTCGGCCATTGCAGCCATCTGGGGAGTGATCCATCAGATGGAAGATCTCTCTGTTTCTGCCTCTCTCTAACTTTGTCTTTCAAATAAATAAAATAAAGCTTAAAAAAAAAAAAGAATAACTAAAAAAAACTGTATGGTTATCTCAATAGATGCAGAAACCATTTGATAAAATACAACATTCTCTCATGATGAATAAATAAACATTTTCATTCTTCTATTTGTTATTGTGATGTGTCACATTTGTTAATTTGCATGTGTTGAACCATTCCTGCATACCAGGGATACCACTTGGCCCAAGTGAACAATCATATTTTGTTCATCTGTGATACTGGTTTATAATTCTCTTTGTTGTATGTTTTTCTGGTTTTGGAATTAAGGTTATGCTGGTCTCATAGAAGCAGTGTGGGAGAATTTCCTCCATCTCAGTTGTTTGAAATAGATTGAGAGGAATTGGAATTCATTTTTCTGTAAAAGTTTGGTAGAGCTCAGCATGTAACCATCCAGTCCTGGCTTTTTCTATGTGGGGAGGGTCTTTATTTCTTATTCAGTCTCCATCTTGGTTATTGCTTTGTTTAGGTTTTCAGTGCCTTCATGCATCAATTTTTGGTAGATTGTGCTTATCTAGGAATCAATCCATTTCCTCTAAATTTCCCTATTTGTTGGCATATAGCTTTTTTCATAATTTCTGATGAATTTTATTTCTGTGGTATCTAACATTTCCTTTTTTAGTTCTGAATTTATTAATATGTGTCTTCTCCACTTTTTTTAATTATTTAGGCCTGTGGTGTATCAATTTTAATTTTTTCAAAAATAATTGCACTTCATTTCACTGATCTTTTGTTTCTTTTTTGTTTCAATTTTATTTCTTCTTTGATTTTAAGAATTTCTTTCCTCATACTAACTTGTGGTTTTTCTAGGTTTTGAATGGATTGTTAGATCATTTGTTTGATCCTTTTCCAATTTTGAGGTAAGCACTAATTGCTATAAACTTAACTCTCAGAATTGCTTTTGCTGTATATCATAAGTTTTGACATGTATGTTGTCATTTTCACTTCTTTCCTGTAATTTTTTATTTACTTTTTGATTTCTTCTATGACCCACAGTTCATTCAGGAGCAGGCTGTTCAGACTCCATGTGCTTGCATGCTTTCTAGAGTTTCTTATGTTCTTAATTTTCAGATTCATTCCACTGTGGTCAGAAAGATACATGGTATGATTTCATTTTCTTTTAATTTGCTGAGATTTGCTTTATGGCCTAACATATGATCTGTCTGAGAAGGAGTTCCACGCACTGGTGATAAGAATGTGTATTCTGCAACTATGGGATGAAATGTTCTGTATATGTCAATTCTGTCATTTTGGTCCATAGAGTAAATTAGTTGTCTTCTTTGATTTTTCTTTGTCTAGTTGTCCTGTGTATTGATGTAACTGTGATATTGCTGTCGCCCATTACTATTGGATTGAAGTCAATGTTTCTGTTAAGATCCATTAACCTTTGTTTTAAATAATCAGGCACTGGGGCTGGAACTGTGGCAAAGCAGGTTAAGCATTCCATATGGGCACTGGTTTGAGACCTCACTGTTCCACTTCTGATCCAGCTCTCTGCTATGGCCTGGGGAAAGCAGTAGAAAGTGGCCAAAGTCCTTGGGCCCCTGCATCCATGTGGGAGACCCAGAAGAAGCTCCTGCCTCCTGGCTTCTGATTGGCTCAGCTCTGGCCACTGGCCATTTGAAGAGTGAACCAGCAAATGAAAGAACTCTCTCTCTCTCTCTGTAGCTCTGCTTTTCAAATAAATAAATGAATCATAAAAAAAATGAAAAGCAATCATGCACCTGGCATTGGGTACATATACATTTACCATAGTTTCATCTTTCTTTTGGATTGATTCCTTCATTAATACAAAATGCCTTTTTGTCTTGTTAATAGTTTTTGCTTTAAAGTCTGTTTTGCATGATATTATCATCGGCTAATATTTCTCTTTTTTACTTTTTGTTATCATGGAATATCATTTTCCATCCTTTAACTTTCAAAGTCTGTATGTATCTTTGTAGCAGAGATGTGTTTATTACAGGCAGTAAAAAATGGATCTTGTGTTTTAATACATTCAGCTAGTCTGTATCTTTTTTTTTTTTTTTTTAGATTTATCCCTCCACTTGAAGTCAGAGTTACACAGAGAGAGAAGGAGAGGCAGAGAGAGAGAGAGAGGTCTTCCATCTGCTGGTTCACTCCCCAGTTGGCCACAATGGCTGGAGCTGTGCCAATCCAAACCCAGGGTCCAGGAGCTTCTTCAGGTCTTCCTCATGAGTGCAGGGGCCCAAGGACTTGGGCCATCTTCTACTGCTTTCTCAGGCCATAGCAGAGAACTGGATTGGAAGTGGAGCAGCAGGGACTTGAACCAGTGCCCATATGGGATGCTGGCACTGCAGGCAGCAGCTTTACCTACTATACCACAGTGCCGGCCCCTTGATTTATTTTATTGTTTTTCTTTTGGGAACTTCATGGTTTTATGATTGAGTTAATTCTTACTCCTTATTGTGATGCATGCTCACCATTTATCTAGACCGTATATTTAATTACTAACAGTTTTCATTGGGCATAACTAGTTTACAAAAGTCTCACACACTAACATGACATGCAAGAAGTTGTAGCTCATAATGATTATTAATACAGGACTGAGTTTCACCTGAATATCAAATGAAGCTAAGTTAGTTTCTCCAGACTCCTTCACTCTGTATTTTGCTGTCACTTGCTGCTATTCAGGGGTATTAGATTTTGGCCTGTATATTCCTGCTATTTTTCTGTGCAAGGGGTATAGGAGTCAGCCCTGTATCATGAGAACATTACTCTTTATCTCTAAATGGATTTAAGCAAGCAACAGTCACTCAGGCTGTGTGCTTCAGTGTGGCACTATATATAACAGATGCATAATAATTGTATATATTTCTTTTAAAAAAAAACATTTATTTGAAAGTCACATTTACACTGAAAGAGGAGAGAAGAGAAAGAGAGAGAGAGGTCTTCCATCCACTGGTTCACTCCCCAATTGGCCACAATGAACCAGAGCTGCACCAATCTGAACCCAGGAGCCAGGAGCTTCTTCCAGGTCTCCCATGTGGGTGCAGTGGCCCAAGGACTTGGACCATCTTCCACTGCTTTCCCAGGCCACAGCAGAGAGCTGGATCAGAAGTGGAGCAGCTGGGTCTCAAATCAGTGCCCATATGGGGTGCTGGCACTGCAGGTGGTGGCTTTACCTCGCTTGCCACAGTGCCAGCCCCTATATTTTATAAGAAGTTATTTCAAAAGGTCCATGGGCAATACACATTATCATTTAATTTTATAACCATGAAATTTTGAGTACTTTTATATAAAGCTTAAAGAACTAAAAATCATTAGGATTATAGAATATATGTATGTTAATTCCACAGAAGAGAAAAATCTACCCAACCTGGATCTCCATGTCTGTTCAAGCTGATGTACTAAATTTTAAATTGGTAATATGATTGAAAACATTAGAGGTTCCCAAAACAAAGGTACCTATATTAATCTATTTGATTGTAAGTAGAATATGCAATTTATTTGTATTATTTTTAAAATAATTGAGGGCCAGCACTGTGGAAAATAGTGGGTAAAGCCAGCAACTATGGTGCTGGCAATCCCATGTGGCCACCAGTTCAAGTCCCAGATGGTCCAAGTATTTGGGGTCCTGCACCTATGTGGGCAACCCAGAAGGAGCTCCTGGCTTCTGGATTTGGATCAGCCCCAGCCCTGGCCATTGTGGCCATTTGGGATGGTGAACAACAAATGGAATGTCTTTCATCTCTCTCTATCTCATCTCTCTCCATCTCTATATTTCTCTATATCTCTATCTCTAAAGCTGTCTATAATTCTTCCAAATAATTTTTAAAATCTCTATAAAAATGGTATAAATATTTTCAACTATTTCCTACAATACAGAAGAATAAATAACTTGAAGAAACATTAAAGAATTCATTTTAACTTTGGAAAAATTTCTCTCTCTCTTTTTTTTTCTTTTTGACAGGCAGAGTGGACAGTGAGAGAGAGAGACAGAGAGAAAGGTCTTCCTTTTGCCGTTGGTTCACCCTCCAATGGCCGCCGTGGCTGGCGCACTGCAGCCGGCGCACCGTGCTGATCCGATGGCAGGAGCCAGGAGCCAGGTGCTTTTCCTGGTCTCCCATGGGGTGCAGGGCCCAAGCACTGGGCCATCCTCCACTGCACTCCCGGGCCACAGCAGAGAGCTGGCCTGGAAGAGGGGCAACCGGGACAGAATCCGGTGCCCCGACCTGGACTAGAACCCGGTGTGCCGGCACCGCTAGGCGGAGGATTAGCCTAGTGAGCCACGGCGCCGGCCTATTTTTTCTCTTTTTAAAGATATATTGCACTCATTTGAAAGGCAGATTTATAAGGATGGAGAAACAGAGTCAGAGACTTTCCATCTGCTGCTCACCTCCCCAGATGGCTGCAATGGCCAGAGCTGGGTAAAACCAAAGCCAGGATGAAAGAAGCTTCATCCTGGTCTTCCATGTGATGGTGGGGACCCAATCATGTGGGTCATTTCAGCTGCTTCCCAGGCCATTGGCTGGGAGCTGGATAGGAAGTGGAGCATCAGGACCTGAAACAGTACCCATATGAGATGCCAGCATTGCAGATAGGACATAACCTCCTCAGCCACATTGATGAGCTCCTAAAATCACCTATTTCTAAGAGTTGATTTTCATTTATATTCTTTTTATATAAAAAGACTTATTTGTTTATTGAAAGTCAAAGTTACAGAGAAGAGGGAAAGACAGAGAGATCTTCCATCATCTGGTTCACTCCCTAAATGGCTACAAAGGCAGGGCTTGGGTTAGGTCAAAGCTGGGAGCTTCTTCCAGGCCTCCCATGTAGATGAAGGAGCCCAAGCACTTGGCCAATCTCTGATGTTTCCCCAGGCCATTATCAGGCAAGAAGCTGGATCAGAAGTGTAGCAGCCTGGCCGGCGCCGCGGCTCAATAGGCTAATCCTCCGCCTAGCGGCGCCGGCACACCGGGTTCTAGTCCGGTCGGGGCGCCGGATTCTGTCCCGGTTGCCCTCTTCCAGGCCAGCCCTCTGCTGTGGCCAGGGAGTGCAGTGGAGGATGGCCCAGGTGCTTGCACTCCATGGAGACCAGGAAAAGCACCTGGCTCCTGGCTCCTGCCATCGGATCAGCGCGGTGCAGCGGCCACAGCGTGCCAGCCGCGGCGGCCATTGGAGGGTGAACCAACGGCAAAGGAAGACCTTTCTCTCTGTCTCTCTCTCTCACTGTCCACTCTGCCTGTCAAAAAAAAAAAAAAAAAAGAAGTGTAGCAGCCAGAACTTGAACTGGCACCCATATAGGATTTCATTCTCACAAATGGTGGCTTAAATGCTAGCCCCTCCTTGGCCAGCACCATGGCTCAATAAGCTAGTCCTTCGCTTGTGGCACTAGTCCTCCGTCTGCAGGTTCCAGTCCTGGTCGGGGAGCCAGATTCTGTCCCAGTTGCCCCTCTTCCTCTCCAGCTCTCTGCTGTGGCCCAGGAGTGCAGTGGAGGATGGCCCAAGTGGTTGGGCCCTGCACCCGCATGGGAGACCAGGAGAAGCACCTGGCTCCTGGCTTTGGATCAGCACAGTGCACCAGCCACAGCAGCCATTGGTGGGTGAACCAACAGCAAAGGAAGACCTTTCTCTCTGTCTCTCTCACTGTCCACTCTGCCTGTCCAAAAAAAAAAAAATGCTAGTCCCTCCTTATATTCTTTATGTAATTACTTTTAAAAGTCTCCTTCTAAATAAACAAAAGATATCTCTAATTTACCAAGATTATTGTGCAATTTACTAATTGTCTCTATTTACAAGTCAAGCTAACACCAGGATTTGTTAGAAGACCTAAATGGGGAGCAGTGCTATGATGCAACAGGTTACGCCCTAGCCTGCCACACTGGCATCCTTTATGGGCACCAGTTCAAGTCTTGGCTGCTCCTCTTCTCATCCAGCTCTCTGCTATGGCCTGGGAAAGCAGTGGAAGATGGCCCAAGTCCTTGGGCTCCTGCACTCATATGGGACACCTGGAAGAAGCTCCTGACTCCTGGTTCAGATCAGCTGAGCTCTGGCCATTGCAGTCACTGGGGAGAGAACCAGTGGAAAGGAAGACATCTTCACTCTTTTTTTTCTCTCTCTCTCTTGCTCTCGCTTGCTTTCACTCTCGCTCTGGCTCTACCTCTCTCTGTAACTCTGTCTTTCAAGTAAATAAAATACATCTTTAAAAAAAGAAATTTAATGAGTCATACCCCTTGGGCATAAACTCAGCTAAATCTACAGTGTCTGTAATCTGTCCATAGTAAAACTCAAGTCTGGTACATATCTCTCTTCAGCTAGACATTACTGTGTCCTTCCTTTAAGAATCAAGAACAGGGGCCAGCATTTTGGTGTGGATTAAGCAGCTGCTCACAATGCTGGCATCCCAGATGAACTCAGGTTCAAGTGCCAGTTCTGATCCAGTTCACTACTAATGTGCCTAGGAAAGCAGCAGAATGTTGCTGAAGTACTTGGGCACCTCCCACCTATCTGGAAGAACCAGTTGGAGTTCCATGCTCCTGGTTTTTGCCTGGCCCAATCCCAGCAATGGTAGTCATTTGGGGAGTGAACCAGCAGGTGGAAGATCTCTCTCTCTCTTTTCCCTATCTCCCCCTTTCCCTCCTCTGTACGTCTGACTTTCAGATAAGTAAATAAATAAATCTCTTTTAAAAAAAAGAAACCAAGAAAGCAGAATAGATTCAAGAAAAAATGAAACAATTATTTTTAATAAAGAGTCCAGAACAGACTATTAATGTGCTACTACTCTACATTTGTCACTATGATGTGCTGAATAAAAAAATTAACGTATTATCCTGTACTTATTTGGATGATTGATTACTGGTAATTAATATTTAATTTTAAAGAAAAAAATTTCAAGTGACAATATTCATTGCAAGGTGTCCGGAGCATAACAAATCTTCCCAGGCAGATGAATCAATTAATTCACAGGCTTTTATTGGGATTCCGCTCCCGGGCGAGGTTCCCTGGTCCCAACAGAGCAACAGAGTGGGGGCCGGGGAAGTCCACATCAGAGATTGGGAGGGCTCCTTTTATAGATTCAGGGCATGGGGGTTAAAGGTTGAGGCGGGTCTGATCTCATTTGTTGAACTTTAGGCACCCGCGGGGACCTTGACAAGAAATTTTCTTCCCAAGAAGTACAGGTAGGGACTTCTTCATTCCCACAAGTATAGGCCTTCCTTTCATGCGGATCCCAAAGCTACCATCCTGACCTTTTGATGATAGGAAAGGGGGTGACGAGTCTCTCTGGCTACTTCCTGCTGACTGGGGACGTCATCTACAGGGGCCCGCTGCGGGTATCTTGGGGCTCCGCAGGGACAGGCATGTATGGATGGAGAAGCCTCTGGTTGACTGCCTGGTTGCTGAAGGCCCTGGTTCATTCCATTAGCACCTGCTGTAAACACTTAAACAGACACTGTAGTATTCAAGTCAGGGTGAGAATAGCAACCAATAATCCTAAGAGTGGCATTAAGCAGGTAATGAAAGGATTTCATAGAGGAGAGGAAATGAGGGGGGTCTCTGGACCCTTGTGAGGATTGTTTGATGGACGTGGTTTAAATCTGACCCCAGCCGAGACCAGGAGAAAGGCCACTCAACTTTTGCAGGTAGAGGGGTTTGTCTGTAGAGAAATTCTGAATAATCATAAACGATAAAAGTATAAAACAGTTAGCCTAACAGACTGAGAAGCCAACAAGCAGAATACACCTGGTAATTTTGTCAATTAAAAAAGAATAAATGTTGTTACCATTTATGGAAATGTTTTGCAAAATTTCCTAACCAGGAGGCTGATACGGGAGGACTGTTGACTCAGGGAATTTGGGTGCTCCTCTAGCTTCCATTTGTACTGTAACTTGGATCCTTAGCTAATCCTGCTTAGTGTTGATTTCCAGCCACTGCTTTACCCAGGGAACTTGGAAGTAAAGCTACTTTGAATTCCTTCTCTCAGTGCTCTTAGGACTATAGGGGTGGGGAATGTATGGAATGCAGGCCATAGAAAACTTGCAAAATCACTGGTCTGGCTCTGCCAAGGTAACTGCAGGTGGGACTCAAAATACAGTAAGTAGATCACAGGTTAATATTTAAAATTATAATTTTGTATGGCATATGAGCAGAACCCCAATAAAAGCCTGTGAATTAATGATTCATCTGCCTGGGAAGATTTCTTATGCACCAGACACCTTGCATTCATCAGTAGAAAAAAGTTGAAACAAAGCACTCTCTTAATCTCACAAAGTCATGTGGCTAGGAGAAGGCATATCTGATTTTTTCTAATCAGCCTTCCTAAAATTTACAAATTTTTTTCTGGCAACAGTGAATTTGGCTCATCATAGAAAGTTCTTTGAAGGCTCTTGTTAAACTTGTTCCTCTTTGATATCCTTCTCTGAAGGGAGGAGAGAACTTCCACTTTGACTATGACCCTGTCGGAATAAGATCAAAGTCGGCGAACTCAAAAGGCTTCCATAGCCTTGGCAACTCATGACTAGAGCCTAGGGAGATTACTGACGCCATAAACAAGAGTGTCAAATTGTTAAGTCAACAACAGGAGTCACTGTGTACTTACTTCTCATGTGGGATCTGTCCTTAATGTGTTGTCCAATGTGAAGTAATGCTATAACTGTACTGAAACAGTATTTTACACTTGGTGTTTCTGTGTGGGTGCAAACTGATGAAATCTTTACTTAATATATACTAAATCGATCTTCTGTATAGAAAGATAATTGAAAATGAATCTTGATGTGAATGGAATGGGAGAGTGAGCGGGAGATGGGAGGGGTGCGAATGGGAGGGAAATTATGGGGGAGGGCATTGTAATCCATAAACTGTACTTTGGAAATTTATATTTACTAAATAAAAAAAAACCATTAAAAAAAACTTGTTCCTCTTTGAAAATGTAAATTTTACTGCACGATACTGCAAGAGGTAAATTTTTGATGTGTAGGAAATTTGAAAACCAATTATGCTTAGTCTCTAATTTCTGATTTACTTACAGAACAGAAATTACACAGATAAATTTCACTTTGTCTAATTTTTTAAAATACTCATTTATTTGACAAGCAGGCACAGATAGACAAGGGGAAAGACTGAGAGAGAGGTCTTCCATTTGCTAGTTCACTCCCCAAATGGACACAATGGCCAGAGCTGGACCAACTCAAAGCCAGGAGCTTCTTCACACATGGGTGCCGGGGTCCAAGCACTTGCACCGTCTTCCACTGCTTTCCCAGGTCATTAGCACAGAGCTGGATTGGAAGTGGAGCAGCCAAGGTATGAACCAGCACCTGTATGAGATACCAGTGCCACAGGCAGAGGCTTAATGACTATGGCACAGCACCAGCCCCCACTTTACCTAAATTTACAGTAAACCTATGAGTTGCACCACAATGCAATTTTCTTTTCCTTCCTTCCTTCCTTCTTTCTCTCCTTCCCTCCTTCCCTCCTTCCTTCCTTCCTTCCTTTCTTATTTTTCTGTGTCATGAAGCTTGCACATTGCATCCAAGGACATGGACCAGGGAGAGAGGCTTATGATTACTGTGTGCAAGAACTCTCCTTGAGGGTCAAAGCATCTGACAAGGAAGCTCTCCTAGATTAAGTCCTCAAGTGCCTCTCAATAACAAGCGAGAGAAGGTGTGCTAACTGGAGAGCATCTTTGGTTGAATTAACACTGGGAGGTCTGAGTGTTGCTGGGGTCCTCATTGGGATATATTATGGGTAAAATCATTTGAATGTGACTATCCACCACTAGAGGGCTCTGTAGCATCAAATACATTTTCACAGTCATTGACATCTGATTCCCCACTGTTGTCCCTAGCTGCTCTTCTGGGGAAGAAAATCTGCTCCACTTGCAGGATACTTAAGTCCAGCAGTGGAGGAAGAATAATTGAAAGAGCCCACAGTTGAGTTCAAGGCAAAAAGACACTTGCTTCCATGTGAGAATGACTGAGAATACTGTCTTGGTTGGGTAAAAGTCATCATGAAGAGGATCAGGGACCTCTGCATCTCCAAGTATATTTCTACCTCCCAGCTGTGAACCCAGACTAGGGCATCCATTGAATAAACAATGATTCCATACTTCCATGTGGTGCTGCCCTGCTTAACATTGCCTGCTGAAATCATTTTGTTCCTATGTATTTTTACCCAGCACGGTTGTCTTAATTTTCTCACTTCTGCCTGACAATATTCAACAATTTGCGCACTGTGCTCTTTACCTGCACACCCTGCCAGCAATTTTTCTTGATGTGCACTATACACCTAATAAATTGCCCTAATGATTTTTAACTCCATCATTGTAAAAATGCCAGTATCATGTTCTTTAATAAGTTTGGCATAATACTGAAAGGAGGGAGCCTTTGCCATTGAAGACACTGTATTTGTGCTCACTAGTATTACCTAGATTAGGAGTAGTGTTATCCTCTGGTTATACCTTCAATTTGAACTAAATTCTAAAACATGAATGAAATTACTGATAATGAAGATGAAGCTGAAGAGAAGGAAGCCAAGATTGGGCACTCTGGTGGTGTGAGTGAGCTGTTTATGGGTGAACTGTTCTTAATACAAAACCTGCTGCGGGTTTGCCAAGTTATGTACCACTCAGTAACCTTCTTCATGTATCTTTAAGAATTCTGTCCCAAATCTCTTCCCTAATTTCACTTTCACAGTTACAGAAAATGAAGTTTTGAATAAACCTGTTAGTTATGGATTTCAATTACTTGCAGAAGTTCTATCTTGCTAATGTTCCAGTCACTGATGCTAAAAGTTGCTTCTTGTCTTCTCTCTCTCAGCAACAAATTTCATGGCCCACATTGCTGCTAGTGATATAGAAACTTAGAGTGTTGAAGGTGTAGTCCAAAATGGAGGCTGTCATGATGAAATTCTCTGAGTGCATTATTTTAATATCAAGCATCTTAAATAATCACTTACTACATTTTTGTGTTGCTATTGACTAACTCACAGTATCATGTTATCCTTTGTCTGTTTAGCTGAGCTATACGACAATCTTCTTTATGGACATGATCATCACTTTTTACCCAGAGGATCAGTATTCATTACACATTTCCTCTGAGTTAGGCCACTCCAAGGAATGAGGTTGTGTAGGTTTATAATTTAGTTATACTGTTTGTTCTCTGTGGAATTTAAAGTTTAAAAGAGATAATTATCATAACCACCTCAAAGGTCCCTTGGTACATCTTTCTGAATCACTTAGAGATGAGACTCCTTTGAAAGAAGAAATGAAGTGACTACCTGTAATGCAGCATCTCATGTGAGCACTGGTTGAGTCCCAGCTGCTCCATTATGACCCATCTCCCTGTTACTGCATCTATTTGGGGAATGAACCAGCAGATGGAAGATCTCTATCTCTCCCTGCAACCTTCTCTCTGTATCTCTGACTTTCAAATACTGTACATCTTATTTTAAAAGAACTTAGGGTCCAGCACTGTGGCATAGTGGGCTAAGCCTCTGCCTGTAGTGCCAGTTCAAGGTCCAGCTGTTCTTCCAATCCAGCTCTCTGCTTTGGCCTGGGAAAGCAGTCAAAGATGACCAAAAGCCTGGGCTCCTGCACCCATGTGGGGGAGAAGAGTGAAGCTCCAGGCTTCTAGCTCCTGGCTTCAGATTGACCCAGCTCAATCTGTTGTGGCTACTTGGAAGTAAACTAGTGGATAGATCTTTCTCTCTGTTTCCCTGTGTCTGTAACTCTACCTCTCAAATGAAATAATAAAATCTTTTTATTGAAAAAAAAACACAGAGTTTAGCCTCACATTTGGAACTTCTAGTAATTCTGATGGGTTGAGAGGAAATTTGTAAAGTTGTGGTACAACTGAGAGCCTTCTGAGTCCTAGCACGTAAGAAGAGAATAGCAAGCAGACAGCTGGTAGACAAGACTTAAGAGGGTACAACCCATAGCATTGTCTTCCTGAAGACCACAGTAAGTCCTACAGTCCCTGTTCAAAGGTCATGGGAAACCATTCACATGGTTGAAAGAGGAGGGTGACTTGATGAGATTTTGTTTTGTAAAATGGCCTTTTAATTAAGTACTAAAGAACATCTCCAGAGAAAACATAGAGGAGTACAGCTGAATGGTAAATCTCATTAACAATAACAAGATTTGATGAAAGAAATGGTGCCTTTAAGGGAAATGTAATTCAGGGAAGAGAGATAAGAATTAGTGAATCTTTTCTCCTAGGATGGTACTTACACCAACTGTATAGATTGGGGCCCTAATTTGGTGTGTTGAAGAGGATTCCACTAGGATCTGGAATAACTTGAGCATCAGAACACATAATTTCAGACTGTAATACATTTAACAAGATAAGAATCTATGAACCCTGGTGATATAGTACATAATGACACACTAACTAGGACAGAAGAGTGAGCCCTTAGCTTTGATGCTAGATCAAAATATAAATGGAGAAATAATATTGGGAATTAAAACACCAGCATTTCATATAGTATTGATGATTAAAAAACTATCAAAGATACTGGATGAAAATTGATAGGAAATAGGATACTGGCATAATATTAGAATATTTTTAATAAAAGTTCACACATTCCAAAAAGGAATAAAAATGTGTATATAGCACAGCATATACAAATGCTGTGGTGCAGCAAGTTTTGCCACTGCCTGCCACACCAGCATTCCACATCAGAGTGCTGTGGTGCTGCTTCAAGTCCCAGCTTCTCTGCTTTTGATCAAGCATATTGTGAATGCACCTGGAAGGCTTCAGAACATGGTTCAAGTCCTTGGGCCCCGCCACCATGTGTAAGACCAGGAAACAGTCGTTCATCCTAGCTTCAGCTTGACGAAGAACTTACTCTTGCAACTCTTTTGGAAATGAACCAGCGAGAGAGAGAGAGAGAGAGAGAGAGAGAGAGAGAGAGAGATCCAGCTCTCTGCTATGGCTTGGGAAAGCAGTAGAAGATGGCCCAAGTGCTTGGACCTCTGCACCTGCATGGGAGACCTGGAAGAAGCTCCTTGCTTCTGGCTTTGGATTGATACAGCTCTGGCTGTTGTAGCCAATTCAGGAGTGAATCGCAGATGGAAGACCTGTCTCTCCCTCTCTCTCTCTGCCTCTCTTTCTCTCTTGTGTAACTCTGACTTTCAATAAATAAAAAATCATTTTAAAGATATAGATGTAGATGTAGATATAGATATAGTTCCCTCTCATTGTCATTCTGCCTTCAAAATAAATAATCCTTAAAAGGTTGCGTGTGAATCAATCTGGCAGAAATTCACTAAATACGTTGATAGCATGCATCATGGAGTGGATGGAAGACTGGGGAGAGCCCAGCATCGGACCAGGGAGCTTCTAATGAGAATACAGGGCCCACATTTCTCAGAAGGGAACACTGGATGCGCCAGCTTGAGTCATCTTGCTCTTGGTACCTATTGAGGGTTTTCATTAGAAAAGTGTCAAGGAGAATTCCAGAAAAAGAACATTGAATCACAATGGGAGAAAAGATATTTGAACATGGTTGGAAAAAATGTAATAGTTCTGTGGATTGGGTATAGGAAGAATTTATTTTGGTTCCCTAAATTGGGGTTCATATGCTTTTTATCAGGGGACCACCCTATACTTAGCAGAAACATCTTGGATCGGGGCAACAGTGCTAAAAGGATAATAACTAGGCATTCTCAATGAATGCCATTCACTCATGGTATTTCTGTAAGTTTGAAATAATTTCAAAATTAACTACTCTTAAAATGATCAGCAGAGAGCTGATCTCTATGCCACAGCTCCAGACCCTGGACACTTCTTTGAAGGTTGAGTAACTGATTTTGGAAGTGACAGAAAGTTTCTTTTAAAATGACTTTGATGGGGCTGGTGCTGTAGCATAACACTTAAAGCTGCTTCCTGGAGTGCCAGCATCCCATAAGGGTGCTGGTTCAAGTGTCAGCTGCCCCACTTCCAATCCAGCTCTCTGCTCTGGCCTGGGAAAGCAGTAGAGGATGGCCCAAGTCCTTGGGCCCCTGCACCCACTTGGGAGACTCAGAAGAAGCTCCTGGCTCCTGGATTGGATCAGCACAGCTGCAGCCATTGCAGCCATCTAGGGAGTGAACCAGCCAATGGAAGCCCTCTCCCCCTCTCTCTGCTGCTGCCTCTCTAACTCTGCCTTTCAAGTAAATAACTAAATCTTTTTTAAAAATAAAAGAAAAATAAATAATAAAATATCTTGCTTCCCACAGCCAAAGTATTTTGTTTTATCAGGATGTTTAAGGGCAGCAGCCAGTAAATTAGTTTTGTAAGTCTCAGTCTGTACTGTTTGAAGGAATTTAATCATTTCTGCCATCATAGTTTCAGGTTTTGGAGACAACAGCTTTTAAAAGATTTTTAAATCCTGATTTGCATTTTCATAAGCCATTTGTTTTAGTAATATTTTGCCACTTCCTGATTATCTACCTGATGTCCAATAGCTTTTTCTAGCCTATCCACAAGGACATATAGCCCTCAGTCAGCCCCTGATGGACTGTAGAAAAGGAAGTGGACAGGTCTTTAACATCAAGAATCTTTTTCCATGCTTTTAATTAATGTTAGAAATTTTTACATAAGCCTTCCTTCAAGGATAAGCAACTTGTCGACCAAGATCTGAATACACTCCCTCTCTTAGCAACTGCTCAAAATTGGTAGGGACATTGTTATTTAGCTAATCTGTGGCTTGTACAGAAGCCCAGTCTCTATTCCTGAGCCCAAACAGTGTACTGGGCTGGAGTAACCAAGATTTTAACTAAAGTTTTCCAGTTCCATGGCACCATCTCACATCCTTCTCCAATTCCCTCCAGTATGCCCACTGTACAAGAACTCTGTATCTTGTACTCCGCTAAGCCCTTTTTTAGCCCTCTGTAAACATTATAAGGAAGATGTTCATGCCAGGGAGCTGCATATTTGGGTCAAGCTACAGGACAAATAACGCTGGTGATTCCCCTTGCTCCTTGGCTTGCGGAAGCGTACCTAGTATTGCTGACACACCTGAAGGGGACTCAGATATCACCACCACAACAGCAGGTGCTGAGAGTGCAGAGGTCTCTGTGAGGCAGTGGGGACAAGCCCATTGACCGACCTTCCTGGTCGGGGACA